ACAAACCTATAAAATATATTTATTACTCTTATTTATCTGACAGACGGTTCAAACATTACAAAATCTACCAATTGTCGAAAATCGTCAAGGCCTGATGGCCTCTTCCGTCGCCAAGAAGGGTCTCTCCATCTTCTAAGATGGAGCGTTCCTTCGGACGTTTATTGATAGTTTCTCACCAGTCATCCGTTGGATTTGCGTGTTATGACTGGCATTTTGTGTGTGACGTGTAGCATGTGTGTGTGTTTGTTTGTGTGTGTGTGACACGCGTGGTCTGTGTGTGTTGTTGTTGTGTGTTGTGTGTCCATGCCCAGCATCCTGTGTTGCTGTGTTTGTGTCGTGTTGTGTGTTGTTGTGCTGTATTGTTGTGCTGTGTGTGTGCTGTGTGTGAGTGTGTTTGTTGTGTGTGTGCCTGGTGTGCTGTGTTTGTTGTAGTGTTGTGTGTGTGTGTGTGCCATGTGTGTGTGTGTGTGTATAGTGGTGTGCTGTCCTGTGTGTGTGTGACACGTATGGCTGCTGTGCTGTATGTGTTGTGCTTGTTGTGCGTGTGTGTTTGATTGTGTGTGTGGTTTGTTGTGTGTGTTGTGTGTGTTTGTTGTGTGTGTGTGTTTGTTGTGTGTGGTGTGTGTGGTGTGTGTGTGTTTGTTCGTGTGTGTGTTGTGGTGTGTTTGTGATAGCTTCTCCATCGTGTGTTGTGTGTGGTTGTGTTTGTTGTGTGTGTGTGTTGTGGTTTTGTTGCCACTCACTGTGTGCTGTGCTGTTTTGCTCTGTTGTGTGTGTGTGTGTGTGGCGTTGGTGTGTTTTGTTGTGTGTGTGTTGTGTGTGTGTGTTGTGGTTTGTGAAGTGTTGTGATAGTGCTTGTGTGTGTGCGGTGGTGTGTTGTGTGTGTGTGTGTGTGTGTGTTGTGCATCACTTTGTGTGCTTGTGTGTTGTGTGTTTGTTGTGTGTCACTGTGGTGTGCCGTCACGCATCACGTGTGTGTGTTTGTTGTGTGTCTGCTGTGTGTGTGTATTCTGGTGTGTGTTTGTTGTCGTGTGTGTTGTGTGTGATGGGTGTTTTTTTTTGTATTTTGTTCTGACTCTCGGTCTATTGTGTGTGTGCGTGTTGTTGTGCTCTGCTGTTGTTTTTGTACGGAATTCGTGGCGCGCGTAAGACCACTCCCCAGACGCCGACGGAAACCGCGTCGCTCCTGCCTGGGAAAGGCACTTGTATTGCATGGTCCTCAGGTTCGTGGAGTCACGTTGGCTTCCCCCGCTCCGTTTTCCGCGATTGGCGGAAGCATGTTACGCGGTTTGTTCCGCCCAATCGCGGCAATTATTGATGAACCTGTGAGCCTCGCCAAATTCCGTTGTAACTCAAACGTTACCTGCGTTCTAAGAAAAGGTGCAGCTCATATGCTGGGTTTTGAGACAACGTCCGTGTTTCCCGGTAAGTTAACGGAGACGGGCGTAGCGGGCCTCATCGAGACTTTTTAGCTGTATACCTCCGCGTTCTCGACGCTTCCTACTCCCTCGCAGGTAGCGAAAGATGCACATTTCCAGGTCCTCTTACGCAGCATCGTTACATTGAATAAAATGTTGACACACACTTCGCAACCTGACGCATGCTATATGTTATTGCATTTGAGGTTGAATGTGCTTTTGTTATTTTGCTTCAAATTCCTTCGACATGTACTTTTATCAATATATATTCTCGTCACGAAAATATTATTTCGTGCAACCTAACGTTTTCTCAAAAACGTAATTTCAGCGGCCTGTACTCTACTTAAGGTTCTAGTTGTTGGTACCCAACTCTCGCTGCTGTACAGAATTGGAAGAGCTATTTGTCTTACAAAACTGTTTTTGCATTTTGCCTCGTCCTTTTAGTGTGATATGTACAGGCTCCATTATAAAAGTAATATATTTATTTATCGGACCTGTACAAATGCTTAAAGTTCTTTAAAATAGTCTCCCCCTGCGTGAACACACTCGCGAAGACTGTGCCTGGAAGGCACGCTGAATGTCCTTGACGGATACTCTCTTAGGAATGTTATAACATGCTTTTGGATGTTTTCTACTGCCTCCCAATGTTTTCCTTTCAGTCCACTCTTCAGTCGGTGAAACAGTCGGACGGAGCAAAGTCTGGGCTGAAAGGGGGATACAATGAGCATAAGTTTGATACGAGACTTCCTCATTCGCTCTTTATTGCGGTTGGGTGGTGATTTTGTGTGCTTCTCGCTGCTCTGCCATTTCGATTCTGGATCGTACTTTAACACCCAGGATTCGTCTCAGATTACGACAGTTGAAAAAGTCAGTCTGATTTGAATCAAGTCTTGACAGCGCGAAACTTGGTTCTTTCTGATCTTCCGTCAACTTTCGGCACAGGCTTTGCGAAGAACTTGCACATTTGCTGGTTCATGGTCACTATCCCACGTACGCAACTATGGACATGTGCAAGATGTTCAATTTGTCAGATGCCCAAATCGACAGTCGGAACGCAAAACTTCGCGCGCATTATCAGTTTTCGGCTGTTGTGGCGTTCATTGTGAGTCCAGAATGTGAGTCCATTGTGGGTTCGAAGGCGGCATCCTCCCGGATACAGTTGAATGCCATGCACCGTCTCCCGGAATGTGACCTTGAAATGTAATTATCGAAAGCCTCTTGGATTATACGGGACGTTTGTTGTATTCTTTTAAAAAAGCTTCACGCAAAATTTGACGTATCGCTCTTCAAGCAAACGATCCATTGCGTAGTTTTGCAAAATCGAAAAGTCTTATCTTCCCTCCCCCCTCCTCCCGCTATCTGCTCAGAACACAATAGCGACCAGCTCTGTTGGAAAGGCCGACTTCCCACAGTTCGACCCTTGCTAATTTAATGTTAATGTGTTTATTGGTATCTTGATCGACATAACATGAATAGCTTAAGCTGGAAATTTCTATTAAGTTTCTAGATAGCTTAAGCTGGAAGCTAGAAAAAGCTGGAAGCTGAAAATTAAAATTATTTTATCCAAAATTTTTGATTGTGTTAGATGTTTCCCCAAAATGCTATCGCCTTTTTTAAAATATATTTCAGCATTTAATTTTTTACATAAACGATTTTAAGTGGAATCATGCATACTGGAAATTGTTTCCTGGAATAGTAAAGCGTCATTTACATATATTTTTTTCTTTTGATATAATTATTTATTAAATTCTTTGCTTCCAATTTTGGATGTCATCAATATAGATATTAACTAGTGATGGTACATAATGGCACTGACTTGACCGTATTAGTTTTCCATTTCCTTTGGTCTTGGTTAGTTGTTCGAACACACACTGGTGCTTGCTGCCATCTATCGCCGCCAAGAGTACATTTTTGTGAAATTTATTTTTAAAATTCAAAGAACAATAAAACCTCTTACTAAATGGCAATTTTCTTTGAAAAGTTTCGAGCAGTTTTTAAGAAAATAGCATTAGGACGCTACTGTAAATTCGGAATTTGAATCTTTCACAGACAACTATTGATTTATCGAAAAAATTTCATGACGTAATTTCAAGCACTTCGTTACAAATGCAATGGTGTTTACAAATCGCTGTTAAATATGCATATTAAAGACGTAAAGGATCATTCAAAAAAATATTTGTGTAATTATTGAAAAAAAACACACAATTCAACATAATTAATTCTGTCATCTTAAACAGTGCAATTTCCACTATATGTTGAAAAGTTTGAAGAAAAAAATTGGAACATTTTTGGAGAAAATGTGCTCTTAGCGTATTAAAATGCGGAATTTTGAGCTCATTTTCACGGAGAACAGTTTTCGGGAAATTTTATCTGACATTTAAAGCACATGTATTCATAAAACCATTAATATAAAGAAATTGCCACTAACTTAAACATGAGATAAACATAACACGAGGCAGGTCAAAAAATTACATTTTTGTATTTTTTGAAAAACAAACAAAAGAATATACCTATATGGCGTTTGTCATCTCATGGAGTACGTGTGTCGCTAATCCTACCAAACTCGGTATAAAAATTGGAGCTATTTTTGAAAAAAACTACTTTTGTAATTTCTCGAAATTGCAATTATTGCACGCAATATCGCGCGGAAACTACTAAATTTTTCAGAAAAAATGTACATGACCTTAATGAAATAACTAATTATGGACTACATATTCAATTAGAAGCAAATGTATTATCTTCAATTTTGTAGTTAAAGGAAGAAGCCGGAAAATACAAACTTTTGAAATTGTCGAAAAACCGTTAGCGATGAATATTGGACTTGCCAATTTTAAGTGTATGAAACTCCATTCTTACAACATCTAAACAAATTGGAGCCGTTAAATAAAAATGTCTGGAGGGCTTATTATTAAAAAGGGGTTAATATTAAAAATGTCTGGAGGGCTTCAAGTAAAGAAACTCCAAATTTTTTTCAAAATCTCGAAGTTACGACTCGAGCCAGATGTACAGGGGTTTCTTCAATTTGGAAAATATCCAAAGCAATGTTAAGACGCTAGTAGTGTTCACCAAGTAGTGTTCACCAGACGGACGTTTTGAAAAAAACACATTTTCGGATTCAGGGGACCGTAAAACGTGCATTTCCATCTCGAAATAGATTTTCCGCAGAATTACATAACTTTCCTTAAACCACATACTTTCCCTATACGTTTTACTTTCCTTGTACGTGTCGTTGAGACTGGGCATCTTTGTCACAGTCCTGTTTATCAATATTGTAACGTTTCTTCGTGGTGAATTAAAACATAGGTACTTTTTAGCAAAGATGTTTATTTGTAAACAATGATACACTAAAATACTTGATTTACAGATAACTTAGTCTTTGCGTTCTTCCTTTGATTAGGTCCTTGCACAATACTGTTCTCTTGGTTATTTATTTGCACTGTTCACTTCTCCTACACTATTGCACAGTTTACTGCGCAGACCACAATTCATTGCGCAGCTTCTGACTCGCGGCCGCCTGTCAGCGGCGACTTTATACCTGGCCGGCGCCCGTCTCGACACATCCGGCACTTGCTCCACATTTCTATGCGACTCGCGAATAACCCAGAAGTTAAATTTGAAGAACTTGTATTCACAGATGCAATGAATGCAGATATATAAACCGGAAGTGTCTGTATGTGACTTTCGGTTTTTAACGGTAGAACACTTTTCAATATTCTTATTTGATTAATACAACTTCTCACGACAAATCAATTCTGACCATCTCTATGAACTATTTTTAACTTAACTACTGAATCTATCAACATGAAGTTTAAACACATTAGACCATACTCATGGGACCAACGTGGTTTTTGATTTACCATAATATTCCTAACTCTTCTGAACATCATATTTTTCACCGTTGCGACGGTACCTCGAAAGATGAGAAAATTGTGTAATCGTGCGTAAAACGGCGAATTTTCGGCAGAACTCTCATTGTCGGGCCCTGGCTACGAAAAGAGGGATAAAAACTCGCTAAATTTAGAAAAAATTCTACGAACACGTGTAGACAGAATCTAGGTTTTGTGGGTCCTTGATGCCGGTAAAACCTATTAACGGCAAAATGTCAATCAATGTGGTCAACACTCGCGCCTGAACTGTTCAGCTGATATTGTCCAAAATGGATATTTGGTTATCAATCTGAACGAACTCGAGGCTTTAGAAATTTAATACATCATTTTTCTTTGCATGAAGCGAGCATTTACGCGAGGACGTATAAGCGTATGTTAGCAAGATCATTCCGGGGATCCGAGTTCGGATCTCGAAGCGGAGGAAAATTGCTGATTAAAAGCATTTTCGCAGGTTTATGTAGTAGTATTATAAAGCGGAGCAGTTAGAAATAATGTGTGAAAGTAAGTACTTTCGTAGCCCCACTAGTGTGAAAAGTAACACTTCCGGGTAATTTCTTTGTGAAGTTAGTGCATTTTTTAAAAATAACTCAATCTGCTCCAAATGTTTTCCACGAATCGGACGGACGCTTCAAAAATGGCATAGGTGTAATTTTCGTTGAACTCTTTAATTTTCGAATATGCCAAACTTTAAAAAAGGGGGATACTTGCATTATTTTTTAAGTGTCGGAAAAGCTGACTTTTGCCGTGCGTCTGGTGGTGTAATGGTAACGTGCGGGGTGTGTTGACTCGAAGGATCTGATATCGAATCTCGCTGGGGGAGGGGGATTGCTGGCTCATTTTGTTGTATAATATTGCATAGCATTTGTAATTAATGCGAGAAAGTATGTGCAGCTGTAGCCCACCTGTTTGTTCATATTTCAATGATTTTAAGTGCATTTGAATCTGCCGTATAATTACGAGAGATGTTTGAGATAATGGTAGGCGCTGAGAGCTTGAGACATTGCATCTCATTCGGCTGGTAGTGTGGTAGTAAAATGTACTTCAGTGGGAGACGTGTGACGAAGCAGAGGAAATAGTGTACTATTATCAGCGCCCGTTGACCAGATGCAGCATCATCCAGTTCCCTGTTGCCGTTTTAACGAGCGCGGCGGGTTACCTATTTGGCGTGCTTCGTGTTGCGGATTGCGAGACAAAAAGCAATTTCTTAGACATTATGTCCATATGCGCCCAACTTGCAAGCGCAGATACTTTCTCATGAGTTTTTAATCATTGTTATCCCTTTTCCTGTCCCAAGGTCGGTGAGGTCGAGCCAGCGAACTTCGGGATACTACAGCGCCTGAACGTCATGCTAGACGGCGGCGGAGGGGCTGACCTCGCTGTCGAGGGCCGCTCAAGAGCGGTTGCACCGGAAGGTGAGTATAGACTACGGAAATTTTGAGGATATCAAAAACTGAATGGTCATGCTATGTGTTAAAGAATGCGCAAAGCCATTGTGAATTATGAACGGAACTCCAATTTGCATCACCAATGCACATATCGTTAAACTCTGTTCAGGTCATCTGGTCATTCATGTCGAATTGACACAAAATGTACGGAATGTTCAACTGAAGCATCACGTCTTCCAACCGAACTCGGCATACGCCTTCCGGGATTAAAGAATAGGAGTGGCAAACTCTGTTTATTGTGTGTTTCTGGAGGCTAACAATTGTGGTTCACGTATTCGATGACGTAAAAATTAGACATTATTTCTACAAAATATTTGATTTTCTTAATATGGAAATACAACAATATAAATTAACATATGTAAATTTCAAAGATTTTTGTCCTTAAAAATAAATGATCTTCAAATTTTTTACAGATTACATTTTTCATTAGCAAACTAAACTAAAACTTCTGAAATTCCATCCCCCCAACCCCAGGGGCCAGCTTCAACTGTAACCCTCGCCTCGCCTGAGATTACATCCTCTGTTATCCGTATCTAGGGTCTTGAGAGGGATCCTACTCCATCATTTCACCTCTCTTGTTCTCCAGGCCGGGACCCTAAATGTCGATAACCCGCAGAGGAAACCGCAGCCCTTCTCAGCTAGTCCTTGGTTATCGTCTAGGCGCCGCTGTGATGCATAGATCCTTAGAAAAATTACGGTTAATGACGGGATATAGTAGGAAATGAATGCTTGAAGCGAAATGATTAAAGTGGAATGCGTTTTGGCAGGGGAAGCGGGTATTTTTCATTAGTAATTTCTCTAGATACTTCTCCAGTGTTCGTGATTCTCTATTGATCAACTCCACTCTCTTGATTCAACGTGGTCCACAGTTTCAAAGTATCGTAATGTTGTATTGGTACTCAACGCCCTTAGCATTGTTGAACCTTCATTTCTATCTTTATCACACTCGTTTCTTCAATTCTGGATGATACATTCAACGCGTTCACGAAAATGAGATCACAGTTGCCTTCCTGAGTTCGAATCTTTGACAAACGTCCGCTTGTGGAACCCCACGTTGAAATTCTTTCGTCCGATATAGGCCTTCTAATGAACATCTTACATTTCGGCATTACCACATGTACCTTTTTACTGAAAGGGGGCAGCAGATTAAGAGAAGGAAACCGTCTTCCGGATATAAAAAACGTTTAATGCTGAAAATCGAGATTTGTGTAATATTTTTGGTCGGATGGAAATAAATTTACCCGAAGTACTTCTTACAAATGAAGAAAGCTTGTTCCTTTTTAGTATCTTATACAAGATTAAATTTTTTTAACACATTATACGCCTATGAATATTGATTTTTACCCTTCCTATTTTCTGCATCATGACAACTAAAACAGAATAAATGAAATTCCTTTTCAGAAAACTGTTGCAAAACAAAAATATTTTTTTCTTGTGCTTCTCCAACACGAAACAAATTGTTTCTTCCGAACTTGGTATTTGTTTTTGTAGCGACGTGTGTTTTTATACAGAAAGAAAATCGTATATTGCGTTACACACTTAATTCAAAACTGTTGTATTCGACATTTGCATAATTGAGTATTTACACCCTAATCTTAAGTCAGAATTGCACCACCACCTTCCAATTTTTACTTTCTCGCGCGTAAGAAGAAATTTCATAAGAAGTGAAAGTTACGAAATGGAATGCGAAAAAACGGCGAAATTACGACTGAAGAAACTATTACTACAAGGCACTGGTAACAAATCCGGTTCTAAAATTTAAAAAAACATTCTGTAATACGATAGTGCAGCCACAATCCCTGTTTTGTGGATACTTTTATACCGATAAGTCGCTGTCGTCAGTATCTCTGTGTCGCTCGTCTGCGGTTGGTCGCGCGCGCTCGTCTTCTCGCCGCGCTTGCTGTCTGCGTCGTCGTCGCGCAGCTCGCTGTTCGGTCTCGTCGGTTGGTCAGCGCCTCGCTGTTGTCTGTCTGTCGGTTGCGCCCGCGCCTCGCTGTCTGTCGTGTGGTTCGGCGCGCGCTCGCTGTCTGTCTGTCGGTCGGTCGCGCGCTCGCTGTCTGTCTGTCGCTGGTCGCGCGCTCCGCTGTCTGTCTGTCGGTCGGTCGCGCGCTCGCTGTCTGTCTGTCGGTCCGGTCGGCGCGCTCGCTGTGTCGTCGGTCGTGTCGCGGTCGCGCGCTCGCTGTCTGTCTGTGTCGGTCGGTGCGCGCGCTCGCTGTCTGTCTGTCGGTCGGTCGACTGCGTCTGCTGTCTGTCTGTCCGCGTCCGCGTCGCTGTCTGACTGCTGTCGGTCGGTCGCGCCTTCGCTTCTGCTGTCGCGTCCGGTCCGCGCCGCTGTCTGTCTGTCGCTCGTTCGCGCGCTCGCTGTCTGTCTGTCGTTCGGTCGCGCGCTCGCTGTCTGTTCTGTCCGGTCGTCGCGCGCTCGCTTGTCTGTCTGTCCGGTCGGTTCGCCGCCGCGCTGCTGTCTGTCTGTCGGTCGGTTCGCGCGCTCGTCTGTCTGTCTGTCTGTCGGCGTCGCGCGCTCGCCGTCTGTCTGTCTGTCGTCGATCGCGCGCTCGCTGTCTGTCTGTCGTCGTTCGGTCGCGCGCTCGCTGTCGTCTGTCGGTCCGCGCGCGCTCGCTGTCTGTTGTCGTTTCGGCGGTCGCGCGCCTCGCTGTTGTCTGTCTGTTCGTCGGTCGCGCGCTCGCTGTCTGTCTGTCTGGTCGTCGCCGCGCTCGCTGTCTGTCTGTCGTCGTCGGTCGCGCGCTTGCCGTCTGTCTGTCGGTCGGTCGCGGCGCGTCGCTGTCTGTCTGTCGTCGCGGTCGCGCGCTCGCTGTCTGTCTGTCGGTCGGTCGCGCGCTCGCTGTCTGTCGCTGTCGTCGGTTCCGCGCTCGCTGTCTGTCTGTCTCGTCGTCGGTCGCGCCGCTCGCTTCTGTCTGTCTGTCTGTCGGTCGCGCGCCTCGCTGTCTGTCTGTCGTCGGTCGTCCGTCGCGCGCTCGCTGTCTGTCTTCTGTCGGTCGCGTTCGCGCGCTGCTGTCTGTCTGTCTGTTCGGTCCGTCGCGCGCTCGCTGTCTGGCTGTCTGTCGTCGGTCGGCGCCGCTCGCTGTCTGTCTGTCTGTCGGTCGCGTCGCGCGCTCGCTGTCTGTCTGTCTGTTTCGGTCGGTCGCGCGCTCGCTGTCTGGTCTGTCGGTCGGTCGGTCGCGCGCTCGCTGTCTGTCTGGTTCGTTGTCGGTCGGTCCGCGCCGCTCGCTGTCTGTCTGGGTCATTTCTTTCGCGTCCGGCCGCTCGGCTGCTCTGTCTGGGTCTGTCCGTCGTCCCGCGCTCGCCTGTCTGGTCTTGTCGGTCGGTTTCATTCTTTCCCTTCTTTTCCGTGTGGTGG